CCGAGAAAACAGACTTTGAAAGTAGCCCTCGGCCGACCTCGAAAATCGGCGTCTTTCACTGATTTGGGGTCGATGGACAAAAATTCGCATAGCGGGTGGAAAAAAGAATTTAGAACAATTCTAACTGCAATTTTGTAGTGAGGATAGATAGTACTTTCGATGATAGCAATATGAAAGAAATCTATTTTTCGAGCCCAGATCGAGTGGCACGCTGTTACAGAGACGCCCTCTTAACTCTTTTGGGAATGCTTGCAATCCATCAATAGAGGCAAGCATGCATAAACGAGTACTTCATTGAATGCGTCTCCATGCGTATTTATATTATATCCGATATGCTCATACTTTCAGATCCACCGGAATATTCCAATTCGACTATCTGGGTTTTAGAAGGCGACGAGGTCACTCTTGGCTGTTATACAAGTGGTCCTGATCCAATAAAATACTCTTGGACTAAAAGAGGAACTCCTTCGCTCGATAGCGTCGAAGCGAGGGCAAACGGTGACGATTTAATTATAAGACTTAAAAGTGACAAGGAATTTGGTATCTATGTATGTACTGCTACAAACAGTGAAGGAACGGTAGTGTACCGGATTAACAGAGTGGAATTGAAGAAATACATGACAAGGAAACCTAACGCAAGTGAAATCAAAGCAAAGGAAGGTATAATGATACTAATGTATGGTATAATTCATTTTCACGTATAGCTGTAACGAGATAATTTAACATTTCTACTCCCCTGTCCTCTTCGACAGGAACAGTGTATCGGTTTTTATTGAGATGGAGTTAGGAGGTAACCAGCCGTTGTGACAAAGTATTTATGATACACCTTATTTGAAAGTCTTGCAGTACATTTCAATTCTGTAGATGCCGTCCGCGGGCTGCCCTTTTTGCAATCTGTTGTAAAACAAATTGGGAGATATGAAAGACACCATGAAAGACCTCTTGGGTGGGTAAATTTGAACACAAGAGCCTTCATCACGGGATTAAATAGTCATGTTTTCTATTGATTTCTCAACAGTTGTGTCTTACGTCATTCCACTTGTATTGATCATTCTTGGACTGATCATCTGTATCGTTTATTTGGTATACCGGCTTCGGCGGAAAGAAAAACAACACAATGAGAAACGAATGAAGAGCAAGTCAGATGAAAAAGAGGTCTCGAATGACGTCATAAACAATCCAGACTATGCTGATGACATCATTAAAAATTCAAGAAAACCACAAACTACAACAGCTGACGAAATAGAAACTTCAGGCTACATGGAATTACAACCAATACAAAGCAGTGATACGGTTTACCAGTCGATACAAGAGCCTGCAAACAGACCTAGAAAAAGTGAAACACCACACACGCGAGGCATGACGGGACATGAACAATACATGGACTTAAAACCAAGAGTAAACGAATACGAAACACTACATCATAAAGAGAACGCGCCAGGACAAGACTACGAGGATGTTGGCCAGGATTTTACAAGAAACATTTCTTCTCATGACACGCAAGCATAGTTTTATGAGGATTGCATGTTTGGATCGGGTAGCCCATTTACCGATATTGAACGTTTTAAAAAAGATCCGCCAATAGCATCATAGTACTAAAAATCGCAGCAATGAAGTCTTAAATGACAAGTTCTATCAGATAGATTTTAAAAATATCGGCTTATCTATATATATTTTTATCAATTTTTAAATATTTAAATATTGATGAATATTCTAGTATTACAATATCATGTGATAAGAGTTGTTCTAGTCAGTAGCACCGCATTTGTAGTGTTAAAATTTGTAGTCGTCTTATCATAGTACCAAATTTGCCGGACTATATATTCAACAAACAAAGTAATTCGTCCTACATCATTACCGGTTTTATTATTGTTTCTGTATTGTTCTTTTAATCAACAGTATAACAAGCCTCAAAAATAAAAGTTGGAAGACAGGGCCTACGGTTTTAAGTCCTTG